TACACATCAAGAAGGCTGTTGTCGACGAGCAACTTCTTGAGCTCAAGGGCAATCTTAATGGCGACGTGGTTCGGAATCTGAAGAAGGAGGCGGGAAAGATGACCAAAGTTGTTAGCTTACACTTTGTAGTTTGTACAGTCCTTCGTTGGTACTACTTGATATCGAAACTAGAAGTGTAAGTTGTTGGAAGCGTAGCATATTTTTCACTATTCGTTTGTAGTATTCGATTATGGCAAGGGAAATCTAAACGGTTTTATATTAGTTTACAGAGGGAGTAATAGGCAACCTTGAGTCGACACAGCGGATTAAACAGAGGGGGAAAAATTGAGTAAAAGCAGAGACCTTGGTGACGGTGAGCATCCTGCTGAGGAGGAACCTGGAGAGGACGTAGTAGTGGTCGGCGTTCTCCCCGAGCCAGACCTTGACCTGACGGCGCAACCACGGCAGAGAAGTGATAAACGTGATGAGCCGAATGGTGGGGAGCGAGGGATGGGGGAGAAGGGGAGGGCGACGGGGAGGACTGACCTTGACGAAGTCGTACTTGGAGGAGGCGTTGCGGGAGGGGAGCCTGGCGGCGGCCGCGGCGGAGGAGGAGCCGCCCTCGCCGCCGGCGTGCTCCGGCGGAGGGTCCGGATCCCCGGAGCCGGAGGCGGCCCCGGCCTGGTCCTGCATCGGGGGGAGCAGAGCGCGCCGGCGGCCTGATCGATCTGGACGGGGAAGTGCGTGCGGGGGGTGGATGCTTCTCCTTGGTTCGACCGACGGTGCGGTGGTCGGCGGGTGGTGTCGCGTGGCGTCGTGCGCACGCACGCGCGTCCGTTTCTTCTTTTCTTCTTCTTTGCTTTGCAGAATCGGACACGGTCTTGGTATTGGTAATACTTTTTTCCTTCGATAAAAAAAGGCCAAAAGGTCATGTAATGTATTAAAGTCGATCAACCCTTTAAGTTCAGAATACAAGGTCGAAGGTGGGTAAATCGATTTCTGCTTTCATCTGTGACGCGTCGGGAGCGAAGCTTGATGCCACCCCCTCATAAAGAAGAAGAAGAAGAACTAGAAGAAGCAGCTCGATGCCGCCCTCTCATAAAAAAGAAGAAGCTCAATGCTGCCCCTTATGAAAAAGAAGAAGAAGCTCGATGCCGCCTCTAGAACTCTCAATGGAGCAGGGAAATGTTGCTAACGCAAGCGGCAAGGAAGTTGTCGGTCAAAGACAGAAGATGAGGGTCACAACGATCTGAAAACATATCACTGTCTCGGAGAAGAAGGTGATGAAGAGGGTTGGACGAACACCCTAGATCTAGACAAATATACCCGGGGAGACGTAACTTCACAAGCCCCTCCAACAACACATTCTGAATGTTGTCGGTCGGAGAAGAAGCCATAGGACCAAGACATGAAGTGGAACTATCCACACCGTCGGGAGACACCTTCCAAGACCACCGAGATAACACGATCCACCATTTAGAAAGAGCAGCGACCAGATGACCCCCCCTCCCATCCTCTACATCACCGATGAGGCTGCCGCTAACCAGGTGGACCAGGATTCGGGGAATCCTTATGCTTGATCCTCACAACCCCGTCATCGCCACAACAACACCGTTGCCGGGGAACAAGATTCTGATTCTAAGAGACCTAACTGCAGCGCCACATGCAAAATTGGGGTCCCCACCCCTCCAGTCGGCTGGGGTCCCCACCACATGCAAAATTCTAAGAGATCTAAAGGAATTACATGGCGTTTGCACTTCATACAATAAATAGACAACCCGAAGGCTTCTGCCGGTTGTCAATATTATAAAACATGATCATCTCATACATCAACATATATCACATCATATCTTGACCATATCACATCACAACATGCCCTACAAAAATAAGTTAGACGTCCTCTACTTTGTTGTTGCAAGTTTTACATGGCTGCTACATGCATCTAGCAAGAACCGTTCTTACCTACGCAAACAACCACAACGGTGTTTCATCAAGTTTGTTGTTTTAACCTTCTTCAAGGACCAGTCGTAGTCAAATTCGATTCAACTAAAGTAGGAGAGACAGACACCCGCCAGCCACTTTTATGCAAAACTAGTTGCATGTCTGTCGGTGGAACCGGTATCATGTGCGTGGACATGTAAGGTTGGTCTGGGTCGCTTCATCCCACAATACCGCCGAATCAAAATAAGACGTTGGTGGTAAGCAGTATGACTATCACCGCACACAACTCTTTTGTGTCCTACTCGTGCATATCATCTACGCATAGATCTGACTCGGATGCCACTGTTGGGAAACGTGCATGGAAAACAAAAAAAAATTCTACGCACACGCAAGATCTATCCATGAAGATGCATAGCAACGAAGGGGGAGAGTGTGTCTACGTACCCTCGTAGACCGCAAGCGGAAGCGTTTCAGAACGCGGTTGATGTAGTCGAACTTTCTTTGCGAAGACACAACCATATCCACCATTCCGAAAGAGCAGTGACCAGATGACCCCCCCACCATCCTCTACATCATCGATGATGCTGTCGCTAACCAGGTGGACCAGGATTTGGGGAATCCTTATGCTTGATCCGCACAACGCTGTCATCGCCACAACAATGCTGTTGCCGGGGAACAAGATTCTGATTCTAAGAGACCTAACTGCAGTGCCACATGCAAAATTGGGGTCCCCACCCCTCCAGTCGGTTGGGGTCCCCACCACATGCAAAATTCTAAGAGACCTAAAGCAATTACATGGCGTTTGCACTTCATACAATAAAGAGACAACACTAAGGCTCCTGCCGGTTGTCGATATTACAAAACATGACCATCTCATACATCGACATATATCACATCATATCTTACCATATCACATCATAACATGCCCTGCAAAAATAAGTTAGACGTCCTCTACTTTGTTGTTGCAAGTTTTACGTGGCTGCTACGGGCATCTAGCAAAAACCGTTCTTACCTACGCAAACAACCACAATGGTGTTTCATCAAGTTTGCTGTTTTAACCTTCTTCAAGGACCGGCCGTAGTCAAATTCGATTCAACTAAAGTAGGAGAAACAGACACCCACCAGTCACCTTTATGCAAAACTAGTTGCATGTTTGTCGGTGGAACCGGTCTCATGTGCGTGGACATGTAAGGTTGGTCCGGGCCGCTTCATCCCACAGTACCGCCGAATCAAAATAAGACGTTGGTGGTAAGCAGTATGACTATCATCGCCCACAACTCTTTGTGTTCTACTCGTGCATATCATCTATGCATAGATCTGGCTCGGATGCCACTGTTGGGAAACGTTACATGGAAAACAAAAAAAATTCTACGCACACGCAAGATCTATCCATGGAGATGCATAGCAACGAAGGGGGAGAGTGTGTCTACGTACCCTCGTAGACCGCAACCGAAAGTGTTTTAGAACGCGGTTGATGTAGTCGAACTTTCTTCACGCTCCAACCGATCTAGTACCAAATGCACGTCACCTTCGTGTTTTGCACACGTTCAGCTCGGTGACGTCCTTCGCCTTCTTGATCCAGCAAGACGGTGAGGTAGTAGATGAGTTCCGGCAGCACGACGGCGTGGTGACGATGATGGTGATGTGATCTCCGTAGGGCTTTGCCTAAGCACTAGAAATATGGCCGAGGGAGTAAACAGTGGACGGGGGCGCCACACCTGGCTAAGACAATGTTGTGTTCTTGTGTGGCACCCCCTTCCCATGTATATATAGGTGGGAGGGGAGAGGGAGGTTGCTAGGGCAGCCATGGCGCCCCCCTAGGGGCTGGCCGCCGGCCCTAGGGCTCCTGCCCTCCTGCGCTCCTTTCCTTGTATGGACAAGGGGGGAAGGAAAGAGGGGGGAAGAGGGAAGGAAGTGGGAGTCCAACTCCACACTTTCCGTTCCTTCCCCATAGGGACGGCCCCATAGAGGGTGCACCAGCCCCTTGTGGGCTGGTGTGTTCCCTCAGTTGGCTCATAAGGCCCATATCTTTGCCGAGGATGCCCGAAACTCCTTCCGGTGACCCGATAAGTACCCGGTACCCTCTGAAACACTTCCGGTGTCCGAATACCATCGTCCTATATATCAATCTTTACCTATCGAGCATTTCGAGACTCCTCGTCATGTCAGTGATCTCATCCGAGACTCCAAACAACATTTGGTCATTGATACGTCTCCAACGTATCTATAATTTTTGATTGTTCCATGCTATTATATTATCTGTTTTGGATGTTTAATGGGATTTAATATGCTATTTTATATTATTTTTGGGACTAACCTATTAACCGGAGGCCTAGTGCCAGTTTCTGTTTTTTTGCCTATTTTAGAGTTTTGCAGAAAAAGAATACCAAACGGAGTCCAAACGGAATGAAACCTTCGCGAGGATCTTTCTTAGACCGAAAGCAATCCAGAAGACTTGGAGTCGAAGTCCGGAACTCCACGAGGAGGCCACGAGGCAGGAGGGCGCGCCCAGGGGGTAGGCGCGCCCCCACCCTTGTGGGCCCCTCATAGCTCCACCGACGTACTTCTTTCGCCTATATATACTCTTATACCCTAGAAACATCAGGGGGAGGCACAAAACCATTTTTCCACCGCCGCAACCTTCTGTACCTGTGAGATCCCATCTTGGGGCCTTATCCGGCGATCTGCCGGAGGGGGAATCGATCACGGAGGGCTTCTACATCAACACCATTACCTCTCCGATGAAGCGTGTGTAGTTTACCACAGACCTTCGGGTCCATAGTTATTAGCTAGATGGCTTCTTCTCTCTCTTTGATTCTCAATACAAAGTTCTCCTCAATGTTCTTGGAGATCTATTCGATGTAATACTCTTTTGCGGTGCGTTTGCCGAGATCCGATGAATTGTGGATTTATGAAAAGATTATCTATGAATATTATTTGGTTCTTTTCTAAATTCTTATATGCATGACTTGATATCTTTGCAAGTCTCTTTGAATTATTGGTTTAGTTTGGCCTACTAGATTGATCTTTCTTGCAATGGGAGAAGTGCTTAGCTTTGGGTTCAATCTTCCGGTGTCCTTTCCCAGTGACAGTAGGGGAAGCAAGGCATGTATTGTATTGTTTCCATTGAGGATAAAAAGATGGGGTTTATATCATATTGCTTGAGTTTATCCCTCTACATCATGTCATCTTGCTTATTGCGTTACTCCGTTCTTATGAACTTAATACTCTAGATGCATGCTGGATAGCGGTTGATGTGTGGAGTAATAGTAGTATATACAGAATCGTTTCAGTCTACTTGACACGGACGTGATGCCTATGTTCATGATCATTGCCTTAGATATCTTCATAACCATGCGCTTTTCTATCAATTGCTCGGCAGTAATTTGTTCACCCACCATAATACATGCTATCTTGAGAGAAGCCACTAGTGAAACCTATGGCCCCCGTGTCTCTTTCCTATTATATTGCATCTCTTTTATTTACATCGCATCTCGTTTACTATTTTGCAATCTTTACTTTCCAATCTATACAACAAAAATACCAAAAATATTTACTTTACTATCTCTATTAGATCTCACTTTTGAGAGTGACCGTGAAGGGATTGATGATACGTCTCCAACGTATCTATAATTTTTGAGTGCTCCATGCTATATTATCTCCTGTTTTGGACATTATTGGGCTTTATTATTCACTTTTATATTATTTTTGGAACTAACCTATTAACCGGAGGCCCAGCCCAAAATTACTGT